CGTTCTCCGCTAAACCAACAACAGCCTTCCCCTGCCATGAGTCAAGATGGGAAAGTCCATGAATGTTAAGTGACCGCGTGACTTACAGTAGATCTGTCAGGATTTTCTAATCCTAGAGTTTTACCATCTATTTTCTATCAGAAGCTGATAAGATAGATAAGATAGGTGTAGGAGACTATTTTCATGTTCTGCCTGCATAAAAAACTCAGAGTGACTAATTATAATTACAAATAATCATTAAAAAATGGGTTTTCAGTGTTCCACACCTTTAAACTAAAATATTCATATTGTGAAAAATGACAGTTAAACCATTTTTGGTCAAATTTAGAAAATAACTCCAAGTAATGATAACAAGATGTTGCACAAGCTATGAAAGCATGAGACATGAATGACTCTCAGCTCCATAAATTATAAAATATGACCTGCAACACTGACATTTCTGTGTTTATAAAGGTTGTTTGGCTATTCAGATGTGGTTCCTTGTACTATAAAAGGGAGGTTTCAAATAAGTCCACGTGTAGCAAGTTTTTACTTTATTTTAAGTTGTATTTAACTGAATTGGGTCGGTTACAGATTTACCTCCAGGTAAAGGTTTCTGAATTGACATTGTTCCAGTTCTCTATGGGACATTTTCCTAACAAACACATTCAGACACAGGCACGCATCACTATAAATCAAAATATTTTCAAATGTTTGAATCTTTTTTTAAACAGGGATGTCCAAACTTTTAAAAGTGAGGGTTAAAATCATCAAGAATAGTCTTTGTCAACCACAAAGAGGTTTTTTAAAATTTTGTAAATGCAACAATTTGTTTATTGTGAAATATTTTATCTGTACATCTCCAAATGGGCTTACAAAAATAGGAACATAGAAATTTTAAGAAGCATTGATCTACAACATCAGCCTCCAGGCGAGAAAAAATCATACTGGGTTGCATAAAATCCCACTCAGGGGCTACAAATGATCCTCTGACTATTTTTTGCATGTCTTTATGTTAAGTATTTTTAGTGTGGAACACTGAAAATCCAATGTTTAAATGTTTTTCTCTGATTATAATCAGTCACTCTGAGGTTTCCATTCAGGCAGAACATGAAAATAGTCTCCTACACCTATCTTCTGCATTAGCTTCTGAAAGAAAATAGACGGTGAAAATCTAGAATTGAAAAATCCTCACAGATCAACGTCACACTGTGAACTAACATTTATGGACTCACTCATCTTGACTCACAAAGAGTAAGTCTGTTGTTGGTTTAGCATCCGGGAATCAGCAGAGAACGTCTCGGCTACTGGAAGCTAACCATTAGCATCAGCAACTCCACCACATGGCAGAACTCCTTCAGTCAGTGGTAGAGCCGTGTTGCTGTTATTCAATCTGAGGCGAGATGTTAAAATATCAGGAAATAAGACTCCAGAACCTGCCGTCTGAAGCTCAGCTGTGATGTGGGCAAATTTTAGGTCCGAGGAATTATGCACCGTTAAATCCATGGCAAATGTGTTGAGTAAACAAATCTTTTAACGCAAAAGATTAAAAACTATAAAAAAAATTATTCTAATGACCTTTAATTGCTGATACATTTGATTTGTCACTCGGGATTTGGCTGGAAAACGATCAAAAACATGTTATTGTCTCATTATCTGGACCTCTTCTGTTTCCCTCTTCCTTCTTTTTTACATTGTAAAGACAGCACACACACACACACACACACACACACACACACACACACACACACACACACACACACACACACACACACACACACACACACACACACACACACACACACACACACACACACACACACACAAAGGCAAACTCTGACCTCAACATCAAGAGAGATTTAAGAGAACAAAGATGGAGAAGAAAGTTATGCACCTGTAGACCTCTCAAGTTCAGACGAGAAGAGGCGCTACTGTGATCAAAGGAAAGCTCAATCAGTGTTGAGGCGTAGGGGCGCCACGCCGTGAACTCCACTGATGATTCTTTTCTTTTAATGGCTAATCTTGAGACTCATTAATTACTCATGATCTGCTAAACTAAACAAAACACATTCTTTTCTCACTTCTTCAAGAATGAACACACTCGGAGTGTGTTCCCATTTAAAATAAATCAGATGACAGTAAGATTTGGAAAAGCATCAATGCAGAGTTTCATCAAAGCTCTGTGCTCAGAATGAGTGTCTACTAAAATCTGTTCTATATTTTTTATGTGGCGTGCATGCCTCACAATGCTGAACGGTTAACAGTGCCCAGCGTGCTAATAAGTGGGAGCTACAATTCACGGCACTCTGTTAATTATAATTAGAGGTTTGCAATTACTCTGCTGAAAGAATGTCAGCCTGGGTAAGGCCATCTGAATTGTACCTGTGAGAAAATTAAAAACCAATCACTCTGGCTTCTTTGCTCGCTCTTCTCTGTCGGGCGCCCGACCATTAATCTGGACAGCTGCGCAGACGGTAAACATGAGCTGACAAGCCTGACTAAAGATCTCCAAGCTGTAATCTTTAAAGGCCTCAGATGAGTTGATGGTGTAAAATTGAGTTTTACAGAGTTTGTCAAACCCTTTTAAGCACTTCCAAAATGAGTTTACCCACTAGCTTATTGTACTGCATTAAAAAACAATCTTTTATCTCCACAAATGACACAAGCCTGGAAGAGTTCTGTTGTGTGGTGGAGTTGCTAACGCTAACCGTTAGCTTCTACTACCGGAGACAGCAACAACAGCCTTCTCTTTCACAAACCACGGTGGCTGAGTCCATAAAAGCAAAGTTTCAATGTGACATTGATCTGTCAGGCTTGTCTAATCCAAGAGCTTCCCTGTTCATTTCCTATCGCCGGCTAATGCAGGAAACAGGGAAAGAAGACTGTTACGTGCCATGCCCCTTTTTGGCCACAAGTTGGCCCCAGTGGCTTCTGCCTCGCCCGTCTCCCAGTGCCCAGCTGTTTACAATCAGCGTTAATCACTAGACAGCTGTTAAAAGCTGCTCTCCGGCCCTCAGTCAACGAGAAGGTTCAGGGTAGTGTGAACTCTTAGGAGTTTGTACTATTCTCTTCTCCTCGTTCGCTTTTGATACATCTTGTTTGCTCGTTTAACTTCGGTATTTGACTCGTTTTGGAAAGTGGAATTAGATTAGACAATATGGCAACTTGACTTCAGGCCGGCTTTAGATTTTGACTTTGGATCTCCCCCGCTCTTATTATTCTCTGTTTTCTCCCCACCCCCTTCTGGGGTGGCGTTTTTCGTTATCTCGTTTTGTATATATCTCCTTTTGTTTTGTATATAGTATTGGTAAGATCCTTTGTACATATTCACTTTTGTAATTAAATTCTTGTTTTTAAGTGACACAGCGCGTTGATTATTATTTAACCCACACAACACTTTTATTACTCCCCTCCTCATCTCTCCTAGAGAGCCGGGGACGTAATAAAGACTATTTTCACGTTTAGCCTGCATGTAAAACTCAGAGAGTCCGATCATCAATTAAAACATGGTTTCTCAGTGAACTTGGCCTGAGTGCACTGGTTCATCTGTCACTGACTGTCCAACGCCTGTCACAAGGCCTCAGGTGACTTCTGAGTCACAGCTTTCAAACAGAGAGCCACTTTTCCATAACTATTCAGAGACAAACCAGCGAGCACACTGCGCAGTGGAAAAGATAACAGAGTGACTTAAAGCAGCTGAAAATATGGCAAACGGTTAATTATGGAGGAGAAATGTCAGCTTTTATTGAGAGTTTTGTACATTTGTCTCAACTAGGTTGTGCAGCTAATTAGTCTAGGTAAAACTATCGAGTAGAAAAGACAGAGCAGTGCTGGTTTTTATTTATTTAAAACCTCAATCTGTTGGATTCCTCTGAACAGCTGATCAAATGTCAAATTAACCCAGCACTGCTGTGGGAGTCTGTCCGTGAATGTGACTGCAGCTCAGACAGGCTCCTGGATGAAAGGGAAATGATTTAAATTTCCACCTAATCACAACGCCCTTGTAAAATGTCACAGAAGAGCACCTGAGTGATTGTTCCAACTTTATTCTAGCGGGTCATGATGTGTTTTGTTGTTATAGCAACGCTGTACATGTACAATTTTGTTTTTTATGTGTTTTCATGACAAATTGTATTTTTTCATGCCTTTAGAACAAGAATTAATCTAAAGACATTACAGGTGTTGCTAAATGCCCTCATGTTGCACCACCCATAACTACAGAAGCCCAGAGAGGACAAACCTCTTGTTCTAAATGAGGTTTCCTCACGAGGAACTTGAGGCAGCACAGATGGCTGCAGTGACAGTGCGCACAAACATAACTTTAGCCCCATTCTATCTCGACATAATATGTAAATAGCACAACAAACTCTTACTTATAAAGTTTAGTAACTAATATCTGTCACCAGACTAAAGAAGAAAAAACATTTCAAACTACACTCATAATGCGCTCTAATTAAGATGCTAGAAATACTTTTTTCTCTTTTAACTGAACCTAAATAAGATAAAAACAAATAATTCAACATTGGTAAAACAAGTGGAAGAAAACAAAGGCTGATAAACCTCCTACCAGATGGGCACGGTGGCATTTATGAGCCAAAATGGTGACTTTTGAGCAATAATTTGGCATTGAAACAGAACAGCTGTACTGCTTCCCTAATAATGACTAATGCATGCTGCACTGAGCAGGCAAAATTCCCTCAGTCCCCCGGAAGCCTGTGGTGGCTCAGGCTGGGCAGTCTGCTACATAAAAGACATGTAAAGGGAAGAAATCCTGAAGCTAGCCTTGGCTGCATCAAGCTTTGTTCTCATCTTCAAAAGCTAGACTTCTTTTTCATAAGATCAAATAAATCCACAAATAAATAAAGCTCAGATGTGTACAGTAAGGCGTTTGAATTCCTCTGCAACTCCCTTTCACGATGGGGTTTTGATGAAAACAAGCGCTTTGATAACTTTTTTCCTCGTCAATGGTTGTTGGATGTGTTTGATTGAGCTGCTACGTGTCCTTATAGAGGGAGACATACCTGACAGGTGCGCCTCTGCTCTGAGCAGGCTTAAGGAGGACGGTGACGGTGCTGTCGGTCTGGTTCAGAGAGGTCTCCTGGTCATAGGCTGGCATGGATGGCGCTGAGGGCAAAACATGGCAGAAAGCCGTTTAATGACACAATAATACAGAACTGCTCCAGTCAGCACTCAGTTTTTATAATTTAAAGAGCAAGTCACCCCCAAATCAACTTTTTTTGCCGATTAACTATATAAATGAGTGTCTAGTCATGCTGTAGACATGTGCGGTCAATAATTTGACACTTCAATGCATTTTAGTTCAAATTTAAATATTCTGCCTAAAACGGTCAATGTCAGGTAAAAACGTTATTTGGTACATTATAATGTCACAACGCTGTTGTGAGCCTGTGTGTTTGTGTGTATATGTTAGCGGCTCTGCCCTCTAGGTCTGCCAGCCAACAACATTTGTTGCATTTTTCAAACATGAAGTGGGAGGGGAGTTAGACTCTGGTAGGGGGTGACTTGCACTTTAGTAAATCTAAAATGGGATTTTTTGCTGGTTTTAAGAGTTCTAGCCAAGCAACACCTGCTAACCCCACTGGCACATTCTTCTACTCAAAAGAAGAAAATTAGGATGATGTTTAAAAATATTTACCTTATTTAAAGTAACACGACTTTTCTAGAGAAAATGTGTTAACACTTTACAATAAGAGTCCCTTTGTTAAAGTGACAGTGTGTATTTTCCCTGGCGATAGAAGCAGCACATACCTAAATCATTGCAAGCAAGCAGTTTTTTTGGTGTTTGAGTAAGACCTTACTAACGGATGGCCATTAGGGTCAAAAATCCCTCGGAGTGCAATTTTCAAATGAGTACTTTGTGTGATTGTCCAACCTTTCGCAAAATGTCAAGCATGTCAGACATTTCATCACTGGCAACGAGTGAAGAGAGAAAATAATAATAATAATAATAATAATAATAACAATGCTTTTTATTTATATGCGTCTTTCACGAAACACAAGGACAGTAATAAAACAAACTAGTTGAAAACAGCAAATACATCGAAACCTTAAAAAATACAAGTAAAACAAGTGCAGTTGAATTATGTAAAACAACAACACATCCAAACTTCAACGTTTATGAATGGTGAAAGTTTCATTACCATTTACCGTCAGTAAATACGTTTTGTCCTCACAGGCTCCTAGAGGGAAACGTGTCTAATATGGAGTCGCCCTGACCCACTCGTACTTATGTTACAAAGCAGCCAATCATTTTCAACAACATTATCATTGATATTTCCAGAACTGATAAGTTAAGTATTAATAACTGCTTAACCATATAATGTAATGCATTATAAAGCACACCCATACCCCCCCCCCCCCCCCCCCCCCACACCCCCCCAGCCCTTGGTCCTAACCATAAGAACACTTAATGGTTAATATTAATGGTAACGTTAATAAAGGGACCCTTATTGTAAAGTATTACAGAAGATTTTTTTTTCTTTTTTGCTTAAATAAAATGTCTAAAAATGAGGCTTTTTAAAACCTTTTT